TGGTGCGTCTGCGGTCCGTTGTTTCGGCCTGACCGATTCAGATGATTTGGTACGAGGCCAGCCGTCCAGACAAGCTTCAAGTTTGTCTCAGCATCGTTTGTTTCGTCGCGATCGTGGCAGTATAGTCGTCCCCTCGGCATGTTGGTGCGAGGCTTGGGTGGATCAGTGGTTTACCCGCAGGCGCGGCGGGGTGCAACCACTGGCCTGCTTTACGTCATACCCACTGGCGTACGGGGCACAACAAACAACTTGTTTGTGTTGTGCCCGCAGGCGTGCGGGGCACGTGAAGCCGGGCAGGGTTCGGGTAAGTGGTAGTTCAGGAGGTCTATACGTTCATGCTGGGTACAACATTTCGGGGCTCAAGGTCATACCCGCGGGCGAGTCGAGATGCAACCGACAACCGGCTTCATGTTGTGCGCATTGGGTACAAGGAAAAGGCAGGTTCATGTTGTACCCGCCTGGCGGCCCTCCGAGTGTTCTATCGGGGGTGCCCCCCCAAGTGGGGGGACTATCCAGGGATCCGCGCCCTAACGACAAATATCACTTGGCTTCATTTGCTTCACCACCCTCTCACCAGCCTTCTTCGGCACTTCGCAGCATGGCGCGCTCAACGCTTGAGATTCTCATTTCTAGAAAAAGAATCGACTCTACCCCCCCGGGATTATCCGTTCCCCTGATCGTATTGCAATTTACGTATGATTCTGCCCCATCGTCCATCCTAGATATGAATTCATACCATCCCAGCCGAGCGGGTATCCGCCTCCCCCGCCATCCTCTGAAAAACAAGTACTATGCGCGCGCAATCGTTTTTCAAACATCATCAGTTTTCAAGAACCCCTTGCAACACATGGGACGGAGTGCACACGCGCGAGTCGTCGCAACGGGCTTCGCGCGCGCATGTCGAAATCGTTCGAACGCCCTTGCGCTCTTGCCGTCGCGAGAATCTATTGCAAAACATTGGACGAAGTGCACGCTCGCGTCGTCGCGCGCGCATGCCGAAATCCGTTAAAGACCTCAGTTTCGTAACGATTCCCAATCCGAGTGTTCAAGCAACATTAAGCATAACAACACATGGTTTCGCAACACCAGTCTTCAAAAAAGCGTGCGCTCGCGCTCTTGCGAAGTCAGAAAGAGCCGATCGGTTTTCAACATTTTGTTATGGAATTCTGCCAAACGGGCCTCTGGCGTCGCATGCAGAAATTATTCGCACGCCCTTACGCGCGTGCTGGGGGGGAGCACGATCCGTGTCAAATGATACAATGCGGGCCACTCTCGCGCGTCTGCCGCGCGAGCATGCCAAACTCTTTGCAAAACCTTCATCGCCGACGCGAGGACGCCGTCATCGTCGTCAGCGTGATCAGCATCGGCTCCGTCAGTGGCCACGTCGTCGTCGTAACCAACATCGCCACCAGCATCGCTACTATCATCATCGTGTCTACCGTTGTCGACGGTGCCATATACTGCGCCCGCCAACGTCGCCGACTCCCACTGAAGTGCCCGCTGGGATGTGCCCAGCGGTCAGGGCCACCGCGGTCGCGTCGCAATCGCCACCGCACGGGTTTTGCACGCCAAGTTGCGCGTGGGTGGGTGGGATGTTAGCAAGAGCTGGGAATGTGTCAATTCGTCTGGAAGAACCAATTCCCCACTTAGGCTTTCCCTCAGGGCGCCTATTCGTTTGCGGAGAAACTGGTCGGTTCAGCATTTTCGTCAGGCGAATTCCCCGTGTTCCTTGGTTTTGGGTTCGTAGTTCTTCGTTCCCCGGTTTTTCGGGCATCCCCCAGGTTTCTCTGGGTTTCTCGGGGTTCCCCGAGCAATGCCAAGCAGCACCAAGCAATGCCACGCAACGCCAAGCAACGCCACGCAATGCACAGCAATGCCATATAATGCCACGCGAGCCCAAGCATTTCCGAATCTGTTCGTGAATCGCAAGCCTCGCCAGCTAGTCGTTGGCTTCCCTCGCTCCTCTTTCTTTGGCCTCGCTGCTCTGGCGCTCCGCGGCAGGCAGGGTCTGCCCCGACAGGGGCGTGCACGGCGTTGGGGTGCGGTAGAAAAAACTGGCTCCATGCTGCTTTTCCTTTGCTGTTCCATCCGCCCTGCTCGGGGCGCCTCCAGCGCCGGGAGGCGCCCGAACAAGCGGATGCGTATAGCGGCTTCGCCCCCCCCCCCTGTGCTGGTCCCGCAGGCTCCCGTTCGGAATTTGCAGCATGTGCATTACCAGTGGCGGGTTGGTTTTCAATCCCAGGACCTGTTGAGGGTCGGGGGCGACGTCGCGGTGGTGTAGTGTATACGCCATATAGAACTATGTCATAGAGTCTTTACCATGGTCATATCGTATTACATTATATTCTAGCATATTGCACATATATTATATATATATGTATATGCATATATTTGTATTTATATTTATTTATCAAATATTGTATTCTATCATGTCAGGTTCTATTCAATTGATTTACATATATCGCATCAGTGTGATATTACGTTATGTTCGGTTACATTGTAATATTGGATTCTATTTTCATATTATGCAGTATTATATAACATACTTATTGTATCAAATCATAGCATATGGAAGCACATCGCATTCTATTATAGTGTACAACATTGTGTTACGTCTTGCATTTTATTATGAATTTCCATATGCTATGATTTATTACTTCAGAAGTCGATTACCTCATTTCGTACAATATCACAGCATGTCATTCAATGTATAACATAAGCTACCATGGTATATCCTATGATATTATATGTGTATTCCATCATGCTATATGATTATATATTACAACATCTGGTATTATATTATACTATACTATATTATATGTAGTTTGTTTCGTTACCCACCGCCCCGACGTGGGCGCCTCCAGCTCTGGGGGGCGCCAGGAAAAGTGCGTGCAGCGGATCCGATGCCCCCTCCTTCTTGGCCCCTTGGCTGCCCCCCATCCCGTCCTGGTTCGCCCCGGCGGGCGCCCCTTGCGCCCAGGAGGCCAAAGCAGCTGCATGCAGCTGATTCGCCCATTCTCCCTTTGCTTTTCCCTCGCCTCGTCGTCCGTCCCGGCGAACCCAGAATCCTTCGGGCCATTAGAAAATCACGACGGGAGGTTTTTCGTTATTTTCGGCCTCTGGGGGGCCCTGACCGGGCCGCGGGACCGTCAAACAAGGATTCGGAATGAGAAGCCGGTCTTGGGGAATAGGTCGAAACCTCTGGGGTCGACGTCATGAAAAGACCATGACGTCGGGGGTCTGGGAAACGAGCTGCGTGTGGCTGATTCGATCACTCTTCCTTCTGCTGTTCCCCCCCCTCTCGCCCGCCCCCTCGGGTGGACCAAGGCCCGGCCAGAGTGCCGTAAATGATTGTCTGACAGGCCCTCGGTCCCATGGCGTTGGAAGGCACCCTCCCCAACTCGATGGTCCCTCGACCACGGTAGGAGGAAGGCTAGGTACCCCCACGCCGCCAAGGAAGGCAGGCTGGCGTAGAGGGATACTTCAGTGGTAGTCAGGACCTTTACCAATGGGGGTACCATTGTGTGCATGTGAGGGTCGTCCGTCCACTCTGGGACGTTGCAATTTCTTCTCACCCCTTCAAGGGGTTGCCCCACTCTGAGATGTCGCCGACTTCTTTTTGGAATGAGGAGGGGCTGATCGACAGGGGATTCCCCTGGCCATCACCCCCCAGCAACAAGCTACGAGTTTGGGTTGTCCGCAAGCGAAGGATGTCCCCCATTCGACAGCGCGCATGTGAACCCCGATGGACTTTTCAACTGGTGGCCCGCTCGTAGCCCTGGCAGATTGGTCACTGATCCTCCTCCTCTTCCTTTCTCTTCTTCTCTTATTCCTCCTCCTCACCCTTCTCCTCCTCCCTCCCTCACTCCCTCCCTTCTTCTCATCCTGCTCTTTCTCCTCCTCCTCCTCCTCCTCCTCGTCGACCTCCTTGTCCTCCCCCTCCTTCTCGTCCTCCTCCTCCTCCTCCTCCTCCATCCTGCTCCTCCTCCTGCTTATCCTGCTCCTCCTCGTGCTTATCATCCTCCTCCTCCTGCTTATCCTCCTCCTCTTCGTCCCATTCCTCCTCCTCCTCCTCCTCCTCCTCCTTTCTCTCCTCCTCCTCCTCCTCCTCCTCCTCCTCCTCCTCCTCCTCCTCCTCCTCCTCCTCCCCCTCTTTGCGTTGGTCGGACTTCGGCGACAAGGCTGAAGCGATACTGTGAGAAAAAGCAGTGCGTGACCGACTCAGGCTTAGCGACAGGCAAACTGACTAAGCAGACGGCGCGTGCGGAACAGGACGTGCAAGCAGAGAAAACAAAGCAGAATAGCCCAGAAGGGCACATGTTAATGCTGCCGTCTGCAGTGAAGGAGAGGAGGTGCACAACCTTACACAAGTGTATTGCATGTCACAAGGGAGGAATCCGAGTAAGAGAGATCGACATACGCGTGCAATCAACTATAGTGGGAAAGTAGAGCTGGGTTTTCATTGTAATGGTCTCCAGCCAGTGCCGCCGATCCGGAGGGCTCCGGATTCGGTGATTTTGGAGGCGTCGGGGACCCTGTTTGGGAGGGAGGGCGCGCTTGGAGTCGTCGGGGACGCTTTTTGGAGCTGACGTGCCCTCTGGGGGGGTGCCTGGAGCGGTCCCGGGGGGGGTCCGGGGAGGGTTCCGAGGGGAGGGTCCTGGGGGCGGGAGCGGCTAGATCTGAGGGGTGTCCCTGGGACCCCGAAATCATTAAGAAAACGTCAGATGGGGGACCGCCCCCCCTCCCCCTCTTCCCCGGGGGGGGTCCGGGGAGGGTTCCGAGGGGGGGTGTCCCTGGTACCCCCCGAAACATATTGTGGATGCGCAAATCATTAAGAAAACGTCACACGGAGGACGGCCCCCCCTCCTCCCTCCCTTCCCCGGCAGAGCCACCCCGGCGACCCCCGCAGAGCTGAAGCTCTTGCTTACGCTCAGAGCTGAAGCTCTTGCTGAGGCTCCTTGTAGTTCACACGCCAGATCGGCGGATTTTCCTTCCCCGAGGCGTGCGGGCGCTGGCCGACCGGGCCAGCTGCGAGGCGCGGGGCCTGGAGGGAGCCAGGGGCGAGGAGGAGAAGGAGGAGGAGGAGGAGTAGGAGGAGGAGGAGTAGGAGGAGGAAAAGGAGGAGGATGAGGAGGAGGAGGAGGAGCCAGGACGAGGAGGAGCCGGAGGACGAGGAGGAGGAGGAGAAGGAGGAGGAGGAGGAGGAGGTGAAGATGGAGGAGGAGGAGGAGGGGGAGCAGGAGGATGATGAAGAGGAGGAGGAGGAGGAGGAGGAGGAGGAGCAGGAGGAGGGGAACGCTTCAGCCTCCCAGCTAAAGTTTGACCAGCGTTAAAAAAAGGAGGATGATCTAGGCCTCCTAGATGGGGTCGGAGTAGATGGGGTCGGAGGATCGCGCCGCATCGCCGATGCATCGCCGGTGGGGCTCGATGTGCAGCCCGATTTGCGTCACGCCGACGTCGCCGAGGCATCGCCAACGTCGATGATGCATCGCCGGTGCATCGCCGATGCATCGCCGATGCATCGACGATGTATCGCCGATGTATCGGCGATGCGGCGCGATCCTCCGACCCCATCTACTCCGACCCCATCTAGGAGGCTTCTAGATGAGGGAGGGGGAGGAAAGGGGCCTTGGAGGGAGGGGGTGGGCAGGGAGAGAGGGAGCGAACGAGCGCGAGACCGCAGGCCGCTCCGCGTCGCGAACAAAAATCCGACGACAGGTTTTTTACGGCGATTTGCGGCCTTTCGCGGCAAAGCGACTTGCGATGAAAAACGGGCCCCAGGGGAGGGGTCCAGTCGTTTGGGGATCCACGTGGGAGGTAAGGCGGCGTCACCCCAATATACTAATACTATGTGTTCGTCGCCCCGCGAGGGGCGACGCGCGCACCGAGAGATCTTGTAGTGTACGCGCCGTGGCGGGCGCTTTCTGGCCACACCGCTCGGGAAACGATCTACTACAAGATGGGTGTACTATATGCTCGGGTCGGACGCGCGCCTCCAAGGAGGACGCATAGTACCAGTATGTCCCCGCGCGTCCCAGGAGAGCCCAGCGCCAGAGATTCGAGGCCAGCTTCTTTTGGGCGCTTCTGGGCCCTCTCGGCTGCCTTCTCGCGGCCACGACCGGATCCGCCCCGAGGTTCGGAAGCCGCGCAAGGGCTGCTAAATCCGTGGCTGCTAAAATCGACCTCCGGGAAGTTGTCTTCGTCCTTCCGGGAAGAAGCCCGTTGACTGTTTCGCGTGCCGCGCCTCATTCCGGGAAGTTGTTTTTTCCTTCCGGGAGGGCCGTTTTAGCAGCCACGGTTTTAGCAGCCCTCGCCCAGCTTCCCAGAGGTCCTGGCCAGCTCGGCCCGGGGGCTTCGACTGCACGCGAGAGTGGCCCTTCGCCGGGGTGACCTCTGTAGCGCGGGCTCACAGCGGCCCCCCGGGCACCGGCCTGGGCGCTCGGACTCGGCCCCCCCCCCGCGAGGCCGCGGCTACTGGAGACGTCCTCCGTCTGCGGAGAGAGACCGAGGGCCCCACAGGACGACAGCGAGGCTCGGGGATCTGGGCATCTGGACGCCTTCGCTTTCTTTCCTGCGCGCGCCTGGAGGCCTCCCCTGAAGCCGCGCACCGTGGGGGCCCTCTTGAGAGGCCTCTCGGAGGCCTCCCGGGGGCGTCCTGGAGGCCTCTTGGGCCGTCTGGGGCCATCTTGGGCGTCTTGGGCCGTGTCTTCGGCGACTCGGAGCTCTCTTGGGCCGCCTCCGGGGCCTCCTGGGGCCCTCGTTGCCCGTCTCGGGGCCCTCTTGGGGCCCGAACAGTTCACGCGCCACCACCTGGTAAAGCCCAGGGGGGGGGGCACGCTGAAACCCCCAGGGGGCACGCTGGGAGCCCCCCGGGGGGCACGCGCCAAGTCTCGGGAGATTTGGGGGAGTTCGGGGCCCGGGCCTCTGAAAGGCTCCTCAGGAGTGAGGACTGAGGCTTAGAGGGTCAGGCAACGGACCTGAGGACACGCTCACTCCGTGCCCAGAGGCACGGCGGCGGATCAACACGGGGTTCTCGTTTGAGCCATCTTCGATTTCTATTGCCTTACGTTCAAAAACTGCAACAACTGCACGGACGGAGGACGGCCCTGTTTGAACACGGGAATCTCGGTTCAGATATCCGCGAGCATGTTATGACAATCGTTGTGAACTTGTTCAGCAACCACACGGGTGAATGGGATATGAATGTCAATACGGGCATATGGTTAGACACTTACATGAGCTTTATCATCCTACCCGTTTGCGTTTCTTTCGTCTCGAAAGATTGCAGGTCGATCCTTTACAAAACAGGGTCTTGCCTGAGTGGCATGCCCACTGGAGTCTCGTCATTCAGTGAGGGTGCTTTCCGAAGTGTGAAAGAATACTTTAATGGACTTATGAGGAGCAGCATCGTTACTGCATCCTGGGTTTGCTCTGGCGGAAGCCGTGGACGGCGCAAACACCTAGGCGGATGGCGGTGGCGAGCACGCGGACGGCCGTGGAAGTGAAGCACCTGGCCTCTTGTTCTGCTCTTCTCCGCCGGTCTCGCCTGGTGGATGCCGGTGACGAGTGGGCGGCTGGGCGGCGGCTGTCTCCCGCTGGCGCCCTCGCCTGGCGGTCGGCGGCGGCGGGCTCGTGGAAAGTCGCGGGTGCGAGGCGCCCCGTCGTTTGGCGCCCTCCTCGGGCACCTCGCGGCCCCCCGGCGCTGGGCGCCTGGCCCTCGCCCCTCCCCTCGCCCCTCCCCGCCTCTTCCCCCTCTGCCGCCTGGCCTCGGCCCGCCGGCCCCTCCCTTCCCCCCCTCCTCTGCCTGCCGCTGAGGACGGGGCTCTGCCGAGCCCTGCCGGGCCCTGGCGCACAGCGCCGGAGGCATTTCCCGGGAAGCCCTGTCCAAAGCATGCCTCGGGGATCTCCCTGGCGCAAGCTTGGAGGATCCTGGCTGACCCGGAACGCCAGCGGATGGGCTGGCACGCCTGTTTCCCAGTGCTTTGGAGGAGCACTTCGGCCATTCATCGTGTCACGATTTTGAAATCAGGACTTGGACGACACATGTTCAGAGGCGGACCCGCGGTGGCTTACACCGTAACCCAATACACCAGACAACCAATCACGCATCTTCCTCCCTCCCTCCCTCCCTCCCTCGCTCTGCCTGTCCTTATATACAGCAGATGAAGTAGGGAGGGCTAAGGGTGAGGGCTGAGGGCGAGGTCGGTCTCTCAACGAGGCGATGGGTTGAACGTCTATCGTTGAAGACGGCTTGAAGGGCCTGGGTGCATCGCCATCGCCATATAGTTGAGCCCGTTGCTTCACGCTGCGTGCCTGGTGCGGTAACGGCGTCGATTACGCACCGAGTCCGTGACGCACCGTCTCCGTGACATTCAGATCCCAGGTTACGAAGTGCCGTCTTCGACCAACTCCGTGACGCACCGACTCCGTGACATTGACATTCGTGTTGCGGTTGGCCTTGGGATAGCAGATGGGCAGACTCGCCTCCACAGCGGGTAGGCCAGTAGAGCCGAAATCCCAGGTCGGCCTTTCAACGCGGCGATGGACCAGATCGCACCCAAATCCGTGACGCAACGAACATGTCACGAATTTCGATGCCGCGCCCGAGCCCCAAACCGCTCGATCAGAGCGGGGGTGACTTCCCAAATCCCTGTCGAAGGATTTGATATCATATCACGAGGTCTGGCCGAAAGCTATAAACGGGGGTGGACTACGTCCTTCACAGCCGCTGGCAAGAAAAACGGGTACGGTACATGGAGCCCCTGGTGTCAGCAGGTGGCCAATAGCTTTCTGCAATACCTCCGACTTTGAGGATGGGGCGTGCGGTCGGCCAAATATTAGATTCTGTACTTTTCGCAGCTGCAAAGTCTCCAGTATGTCGTTGACGGCCGCCTCATCCTTACAAGATGGGTTTGGGTACCCTTTAAGACCATAGCGCGCTTGGTAATCTTCCTCCTCCTCCACCTCCTCCACCTCCTCCACCTCCTCCACCTCCTCCACCTCCTCCACCTCCTCCACCTCTCGCCTGTTCCTCCCTCCTCCTCTTCTCCTCCTCCTCCCTCGCCTTTCTCCCTCGTCGTGCTTATCCCTCTTTTCCTTTTCTTCTCCTTCTGCTTCTCCCCCTCACCGCGCCCTCAACGAGTATGGCCACCTGCATATGGTGCTGGACTCGCAGGCCGTACACAGTGCGCGAAACGACTCGGTGCGAAGCTTCGGTTCGCTGGAGCGACGGCGCCGAGCGCAGGCTCGCCCCCAGCAGCTGCGGCATCGGCCGGAACAGAACTTCTGAAACCGGGCCGTTGCGCCCGTCCTGCGTCGGTGCGCCTCCTCTGCCCTCCCTCCCTCCCTCCTCCCGCCTCCCCTGTCGGGCAGCGCGCCCAGCCTGCAGCGCGAGCGCACCGCGCGCGAGGCGCGCCTGGGCGCCGAAGTCCGCGAGCTGCTGCCGCTCCGCGGCGAGGCGGGCGCCCCCCAAGCGCCTCCCGACGGCGACCCCCGGCGGCGCCCTCGCCGGCGCCCCCCCGGCGGCGGCCCCCATGGCGGCGGCCCCCATGGCGGCGGCCCCCGGCGGCGGCCCCCTGCGGCGGCCCCCCGGCGGCCCCCAGAGTTCCGACGATCTGTTCCTGTGGATTCGATGTTCGCCGAGCGCGTTGCACTGCTCGCAGAGTGCCTGGTCGCAGACGTCCGAAAAGCACACGTCCGCTCTGGTGTCATGTGTCGTAGATATCCCCGCGGGGGTCCGGGCTATTTGCGAGCAGTTACTTTGCGAGTACTGCGAGGAGGCGGAGAGAGATGAGGAGGAGGAGGAGGAGGAGGAGGAGGAGGAGGAGGAGGAGGAGGGGAGAGGAGGAGGGGAGGAGGAGGAGGAGGAGGAGGAAGGAGGAGGAGGAGGAGGAGGAGGATGGGACGCGCTCGTCGAGGTGTGTGTGTGGGTTTCCTGCTCTCGGCGCGGGGCGCCCCGCTCGGGCCCCCCGGGGGCCGCCAGGACGGGGGCCGCCGCCTGCTCCCAGCCCTCGCCCTCGGTCCTCCTCTCGCTATCTCCCCCTCCCCCTCCCCCCTTGCCGTTCCCCCCCCCCCCCCCGCGCCCCTCTCTTCCACTGCAGTCTCCCCCCTCGTCCTCGTCTTCCTTGCTCTCCTCCGTCCCCTTGCCGGCCCTGTCCCCCTCTCTCCAGCTCCCCCCCCCCCTGCTGCCCCTCCGTGCCAGGGCGGGCGGGCTTCGAACGTGTGGAGGGTGCGGCCCCCCGGGAGGAGGGAGGACGAGGAATGAGGAGGGAGGGAGGGAGGGGGCAGGGAGGAGAGAGGAGGATGGATGGATGGATTGCTGGATGGACGGACGGACGGATGGATGCGTATAAAGATGTACGCACGTATGTATGGGAAGAGGGGTGGGGCCGCCAGGGTTGGCGGAGGAGGATGCTTGATCCAATCCTCCTCCCTCCTTCCCTCCCTCTCTCTCTCTTTCTCCCTCCCTCCCTCCGTCCCTTCCCCTCCTCCTCCTCCTCCTCCTCTTCCTGCGCCTCCTCCTTCTACTCCTCCTCCTCCTCCTCCTCCTCCTCCTCCTGAGAGCGGTGTTTGGCATGGGCCATGGATGTTTGTTTTCTAGAAGCAGGTAGACCCTGCACTCCGACCTCGATCCTCGGTGCGCCGAACCTCCATCGGCGACCTGGGTCGAGTCCGCCGATTCACGCAGGGTCGCCGCCGCTAACCGATCGATCGGCGGCGGCGATTCCCCCCCCCCCCGGCGGAGGTTGCGGCGCTGCAAGAGCAGGCCGCGGACGCGGTGTCGAGGCGGCCACCGCCGCCGTAGTGGCGCCACGTCGTGCCCGCCGTCGCCGTCGCCGTCGTCGTCGCTGTCGCCGTCGCCGTCGCCGTCGCCGTCGCCGTCGCCGTCGTTGTCGCCGTCGTCGCCGTCTTCGTCGTTGTCGTCGTCGTCTGCGTCGTCGTGGTCGTGGTCAAGGTCGTCGTCGTCGTCGTCGTCGTCGTCGTCCGCCGTCGTGGTCGTGTTCGTTGTCGTCGTCGTCGTCGTCGTCGTCGTCGTCGTCGTCGTCCTCGTCGTCGTGGTCGTGTTCGTCGTCGTCGTCGTCGTGGTCATCGTCGTGGGCGTGGTCAAGGTCCTGGCCGTGGCCGTGGCCGTGGCCGTCGTCGTCGTCGTCGTCGTCGCCGTCGTCGTCGTCGTCGTCGTCGGCGTTGTCGTCGTCGTCGTCGTCGTCGTCGTCGTCGTCGTCGTCGTCGTCTTCATCGTCGTCGTTGTTGGTGTCGTCGCCGTGGTCCTGGTCCTGGTCCTGGTCGTGGTCGTGGTCGTGGTCGTGGTCGTGGTCGTGGTCGTGGTCGTGGTCGTGGTTGTGGTCGTGGTCGTGGTCGTGGTCGTCGTGGTCGTGGTCGTGGTCGCCGTCGTGGTGGCGGTGGTCGTCGTCGTCGTCGTCGCGGTCATCGTCGTCGGCCGTCGTCGTGGCGTCGTCGTCGTTGTCGTCGTCTTCGTTGTCGTCGTCGTCGTCGCTGTCGTCGTCGTTGTCGTCGTCCTCGTTGTCGGAGGCGAGGAGGAGGAGGGGGAGGAGGTGGAGGTGAACGAGGAGGAGGAGGAGGAGGAGGAGGAGGAGGAGGAGGAGGAGGAGGAGGAGGAGGAGGAGGAGGAGGAGGAGGAGGAGGAGGAGGAGGAGTATGAGGAGAGGAGGAGGAGGAGGAGGAGGAGGAGGAGGAGGAGGAGGGAGGAGGGGGATGAGGAGGAGGAGGAGGGAGGAGGAGGAGGAGGAGGAGAAGAGAGGAGGAGGAGGGAGGAGGAGGAGGAGGAGGAGGAGGAGGGGGGGGGGAGGGGAGGAGGACAAGCTAGGTGCGCTCGCGTCATATTTGACGTCCTACCCCTCCCTCCCACCCCTTACCGTGGCGTAGATCTCCTTTCTATTCGCGCAACGAAGATCAACGCGTATCATGACATGGATGGCGTGGCGACGCCCCAAGGTTGGGGGGGGCTTCTGCGGCCCAACAAATCAACGACTCGACACCCAATGTGTAATCACTTCCGGTGCTTTCCTCGGGAAGCCATTTTCTAGGTTTTGGGGCTTATTTGAAAGGACCGACAACCATGCTGGGCCATGGCACTCGAAAACACGATTCGGAACGAGCGGAAACACGATTCGGAACGAGCGGAAGCGCGGAAATGCTGCCAGCGCTGCAGCGGGAGCACGAGTCGCCAGTGCTTCAGTGAGAGCAGAGTTTTGACACAAACCCAGCGTGGAAGCGCGGAAATGAGGACGCGTAGCCTGACATAACATGGCGTGGCGACGCCCCAAAGTGGGGGCTTCGCGGCCCAAACAATCAACGAATCGACACCCAATGTGTAATCACTTCCGATGGTTTTTGTCGGGGGGGGGGGCATTTTTTAGGTTTTGGGGCCTATTTGGAAGGACCGACAACCATGCCGTGGTATGGCGCTGGAAATAATGACGCCAGCGCTGCAGCGGGAGCACGATTCGGAACGAGCGGAAGCGCGGAAATGAGGCCAGCGCTGCAGCGGGAGCGCGACTCGGAACGAGTGGTAGCCCGAAAATGAGGCCAGCGCTTCAGCGAGAGCAGCATTTTGAACATTATAGCCGGAGTGCAGTATCCCCAAACAGGGTTTTTAGACCCACTGCGGTTTCCAAGGTCGATTGCGTGCCCGTCCAGTGCGGGCTGGCATGGCATGTTAAAACATGCCTCCTCCTCCTCCTCCTCCTCCTCCTCCTCCTCCACCTCCTCTTCATCCCGAACGGCATCTCGGAGCCCAGAGTTGCGAGGATGTCTCCAGCGTAACGGGCTGGACCACCTCGCACGCGGCATTTCGGACCCCAAAGTTGCGACGATGTCTCGGGCGAAACGTGCTGCGAGGAAGTCTCATGCGAAACGGGCCGGACCACCTCGAGCGCGGCGTCTCAGAGCTCCGAGTTGCGGGGGCCTCCTGGGGCCTCCTGGGACCTCCTGGTGACCTCCTGGGGCTTCCTCCTTGGCCTCCTGTGGCCTCCTGGACCCCACCTGGGACTTCCTGAAGCCTCTTGGGGCTCCCAGGGGGGATATCTAACATGTGGCCGTCGGGCCCCCCCCAAATGGGGGGGCCACAAGAGCAGGAAAAATCAACGAATCGACACCGGATGTGTATTAACTTGACACGTTCTGATAGGGGGCCTCCTGGGGCCTCCTGGGAGCCTCCTGGGAATTTCCTGCGGACCCCTGGGGCCTGTCCTGGGCGTCCTGCGGCTTCCTGAAGCTCTTTGGGGCCTCCTGGGGCTCCCAGGGTCCCAGGGGGGATATGTAACATGTGGTCTTCTGGGCTCCAGGCTGGACCACCTCTTGCGCAGCATCTGAGAGCTCAGAGTTGCGAGAATGTCTTGTGCGAAACGGGCCAGATCACCTTGCGCACGGCATCTCAAAGCTCAGAGTTGCGAGGATGTCTCAGGCGAGATGGGCCGGACCACCTCGCGCAGGGCATCTCGGAGCCCAGAGTTGCGAGGATGTCTCCAGCGTAACGGGCTGGACCACCTCGCGCGCGGCATTTCGGACCCCAGAGTTGCGACGATGTCTCGGGCGAAACGTGCTGCGAGGAAGTCTCAGGCGAAACGGGCCGGACCACCTCGAGCGCGGCGTCTCAGAGCTCCGAGTTGCGGGGGCCTCCTGGGGCCTCCTGGGACCTCCTGGTGACCTCCTGGGGCTTCCTCCTGGGCCTCCTGTGGCCTCCTGGACCCCACCTGGGGCTTCCTGAAGCCTCTTGGGGCTCCCAGGGGGATATCTAACATGTGGCCGTCGGCCCCCCCCAAATGGGGGGCCACAAGAGCAGGAAAAATCAACGAATCGACACCGGATGTGTATTAACTTGACACGTTCTGATAGGGGGCCTCCTGGGGCCTCCTGGGAGCCTCCTGGGAATCTCCTGCGGACCCCTGGGGCCTGCCCTGGGCGTCCTGCGGCTTCCTGAAGCTCTCTGGGGCCTCCTGGGGCTCCCAGGATCCCAGGGGGGGGGATATGTAACATGTGGTCGTCTGGGCCCCCAGGCTGGACCACCTCTTGCGCCGCATCTGGGAGCTCAGAGTTGCGAGAATGTCTTGTGCGAAACGGGCCGGACCACCTTGCGCACGGCATCTCAGAGCTCAGAGTTGCAAGGCTGTCTCAGGCGAGACGGGCCGGTGTCTCGGGCAAAACGTGCTGCGAGGAAGTCTCAGGCGAAACGGGCTGGACCACCTCGAGCGCCGCTTCTCAGAGCTCCGAGTTGCGTGGGCCTCCTGGTGCCTCCTGGGGCCTCCTGGGGACCTCCTGGGGCTTCCTCCTGGGCCTCCTGTGGCCTCCTGAACTCCACCTGGGGTTTCCTGAAGCCTCTCGGGGCTCCCAGGGGGGATATCTAACCTGTGGCCGCTTGGGCCCCTCAAAATAAAGGCCACAAGAGCAGGAAAAATCAACGAATCGACACCTGATGTGTATTAACTTGACACGTTCTGATAGGGGGCCTCCTGGGGCCTCCTGGGAGCCTCCTGGGAATCTCCTGCGGACCCCTGGGGCCTGTCCTGGGCGTCCTGCGGCCTCCTGGAGCTCTCTGGGGCCTCCTGGGGCTCCCAGGGTCCCAGGGGGGATATGTAACATGTGGTCTTCGGGGCCCCCAGGCTGGACCACCTCTTGCGCGGCATCCGGGAGCTCAGAGTTGTGAGAATGTCTTGTGCGAAACAGGCCAGACCACCTTGCGCACGGCATCTCAGAGCTCAGAGTTGCGAGGATGTCTCAGGCGAGACGGGCCGGACCACCTCGCGCAAGGCATCTCAGAGCTCAGAAGCTCGAGTATGTCTCAGGCGAAACGGACCGGACCACCTCGAGCGCGGCATCTCCGAGATTAGAATTTCGAAGATGTCTCAGGCGAAACGGGCCGGACCACCTAGCGCAAGGCATCTCAGAGCTCAGAGTTTCGAGGATGTCTCAGGCGAAAAGGCCCGGACCACCTCTCGCACGGCACCTCGGGGCTCAGAGTTTCGAGGATGTCTCAAGCGAAACGGCCCGGACCACCTCTCGCGCGGCGTCCCGGAGCGCAACTTTTCGAGGATGTCTCAGGCGAAACGGCCAATCCCAGCCAACTCAGAAACGAGAGTTGTGAGGATGTCTCAAGCGAAACGGCCCGGACCATCAAATTTTTGTGAGGATGTCTATGCTCCGACTTCCCTCGGCCGGAGTTAGTTTCTATCACAACAGCACCTCGTTCAGCAAGCTGTTTGGGGAAAAACCCAAGCGAAAACCCAACTCCCGGGAATCCGGTGTAAAAAACCAGTGCGCGGAGGGGGCCGGACATTCCCTGGACGCCACCAGGGGAGAGAGGAGAGTAGCATTCATATGGTGTAATTAAGGAAGACGAGGAGGAGGAGGAGGATAAGGAGGAGGAGGAGGAGGAGGAGGAGGAGGAGGAGGAGTACTACTACTACTACTACTACTACTACTACTACTACTACTACTACTACTACTACTACGACTACTAGTACTACTACGACTACTACTACTACTCCTACTACTACTACTACTACTACTACTACTACTACTACTACGACTACTACGACTACTACGACTACTACTCCTAGTATCACTCCTACCACTATAATTATTATTAATGCTACGACTATATCTATTACTGTGACTATTACTACAACTAGATATATGATTATTGTTCTTAGTGCTATTCCTATTTTTTTCTTATTATTATTACTCTATCATTATTATTGGTAGTATCTTTATGACTATCACTATTACTATTTCTATTTCTATCTCCCTGATTAATACTATTGCTATTATTATTACTCTTACTATTATTATTACTAATACGATTACTATTACTATTACTATGACCAATCTTATTACTATGACTAGTACTATTACTATGACTATGACTATTATTATTACTCTACTACAAGCCTCGTCAAAAAGAACAGAAACGAAGTTGGAAATCACGACGGTCGATCTTCTCGGGCACTTGTTAGAAACTGCGTTCTTCAATGCTGCGGCGGGGTCGTCGGATTTTTGAAGCCCTTGCGTTCACGTCAGATATCTAGCGTCAGCATTGGAGTAGCGCTGACCATACAATCACCGAAAACAGAATCCCTCAGTTTATTTTTGACGAGGGTTGTAGTATGCTTATTATTACTATTAGTATTAGTATTACTATTCATATTCTTATTACTATTACTAGTACTATTATTATTACTATTACTACTACTAACACCATTACTATTACTACTAACGATTCCTTTTCCTATTACTATTACTATTACTATTACTATTACTATTAATATTACTATTACTATTACTTTTACTATTACTATTACTATTACTATTACTATTACTATTACTATTACTATTACTATTACTATTACTATTACTATTACTGTTACTATTACTATTACTATTACTATTACTATTACTATCACTATTCCTATTAGTATTATTATTACTATTTATATTACTATTACTATTACTATTACTATTACTATTACTATTACTATTACTATTACTATCAGTATTACTAGTACTATTACTATTACTATCACTATTATTGCTATTCGTATTATGATTACTAGTATTATTATTATCATTATTATTATTATTAATATCAATATTATTACTACTAATACTATTACTATTACTATTACTATTACTATTACTATTACTATTACTATTACTATTACTATCACTATCACTATTACTATACTAGTATTACTATTACTATTAATATTACTATTACTATTACAATCACTATTACTATTACTATTACTCTTTCTATTTCTATTACTGCTACTTTTACTATTACTATTACTTTTATTATAACTATTACTATTACTACTCCTATTCCTATTCCTATTACTATTACCATTACTAGTACTATTACTATTACTATTACTATTACTACTACTATTGCTGTTATTCGTGCTAGTACTAGTGCTAGTACTAGTACTAGTACCATTACTATTTCTATTACTACTATCACTATTATTAGAACTATTATCATTACTGCCGCTATTACTTTTACTAACTTTGACTATGACTATTCGTATTACTAGTGCTAGTACTAGTGCTATAACTAGTGCTATTACTATTACTATCACTACCACTATTACACATATAATTAGTATTAGTATTAGTTCTAGACCAGTACGCGTATTCGTACTAGTATTGTTAAGATCACTAGTACTATCACTATTACTCCTACTATGACTATGACTATGACTATTACTATGAATGTTACGATTATTATTACTATTACTATTACTTTTAGTATTACTATTAGTATTATCATTACTGTTACTATTATCATTCCTATTATCATTACGATTACTATTACCTATACGCAAAGGGATACAACAATAATAAACATTAAATCATTAATAATGAAACGGGTACTAATGCTATCAATACTGATACTGATAAGAACAACCGTACTACGAAGCATAATGCATAAACTACAACTAGCAAGACGCATGCGAATTTTACTCATACTACTACTAATATCAACAACACTCCTAAGACAGAGTAGTAACCGTGCGAATACTGCTATTACTACTGATAGTAGTACTTAGGGCAACGATAACAATATTATCTATACGATTAATATCCAGAGTAAGAATAAGACACATAATCATAATACTAAGAGGAGGAGGAAAAAGAGGAGGAGGAGGAGGGGAAGGAGAAGGAGGGGGAGGAGGAGGTGGAGGAGGAGGAAGAGGAGGAGGAGGAGGAGGAGGAGGAGGAGGAGGAGAAGGAGGAGGTGGAGGAGGAGACGGAGGACCTCGAGATCCTGGCGTCGCCTTCCTTCAAACACCAAGCGTTTTTCTGGGCTGCTTGCGGCCTGTCGGTTTCGGCCGGCTCCGGTTTCTCTTTGTCGGCTCGGTCGTGTTTCGATCGAGGGTGTCGCCGCGGACGGCCCCTGCCCTGCCCGGCTGCAAGGGGCGCCGAGCTGCATGCCGCGCTCCTCGAGGCCACGCGCGGCGCCTCCGCCGCGGACGCCCGCCGCAGGCAGAGGCTGCAGCAGCTCACGGAGGCCTTGCTCGCCGTTGCCGCCCGGCGCCCCCCATCGATCGATCGAAGCTCGAGTAACTCGAGGCCCGAGTAACTCGATCGAAGCTTCGAGTAACTCGATCGAAGCTCGAGTACTCGAAGCTCGAGTAAGCTCGGAGTAGATGGGGTCGGAGGCTCGCGCCGCATCGCCGATGCATCGGCGATGCGGCTCGATGCGGAGCCCGGTTTTCTCCACGCTGGCGTCGCCGATACACCGCCGGCGTCGGCGATGCATCGCCGATGCATCGCCGATGCATTGGCGATGCTGCGCGATCCCCCGACCCCGTCTACTTGGACCCCACCTGGGAGGCCTCTAGTATCGGGAGGAGCGAAATAGGCACGGGAAGAGTGGTGACGAAGACCGACATCAGCCCCTGTCCACTTTGAACAGGACTTGCTGTCCGGGCTGCCGCCAGCGCTGTCCGCTTGCGACGCGAGCTCGTCTGCCCAGCAGCGGCCCCTGGCGGCTGTCGACAGCGTTTGCTGACAGGCATCGCCTCCTCCTCCCGTGCCCCTCCCGCCCGCCCGCCCTCGCCTCGGCGCTCGCCCCCCTCTGCCCCAAGAAGTCCGCCACTGCGCCCCAGTGCTTCCTGACCGCTTGACAAGTTGCCTCCGGCCCAAACAAAACAATCGCTGCTGGGCATCGTGCTCCTGCTCTCTGTACCCACCTCGGACGCCGCAGGCTTGTCGTTGCCATCGTCTCTTGGAGGCCCGCCTCGGGCACCCCGAGGCTGGAGACCTCCAGGCGCCCTCGGGCCTCCAGCGGAGCTCTCGCCGCCGCGGCTGGGCTCGCTTGGAACTCTGGCGAGGGCGCACCCCAGCAAATCACCGCCCACCAGACCACCCCAGCCCAACCCGAAGGCCCCGATGTGCCCTCCATTTCCAGTGTGTGTGTGTGTGTGTGTGTGTGTCTGTGTGTGTGTGTGTGTCGGAGAACGTTGAAAATCATGTGTGGAACCCGTACCCTCCCCAACCCGACGTTGGGGGTCCCAAACCGGGATAGCAGGGCGCCAGAAGGGCGTGGAAAGGCCTTTCGAAGAACGCTGGAAGGAGCTGCAGATAGCTTCCGAAGGACCTTCTGAAGAGCTTCCGGGTACGCATATTGGGAAACGCTGAGAAAAAGGCCTCTCGGCACACGCTGGAGACCCAAGCAAGGCGCTGCGACGTTGGACAACAGAAGCCAGAACGGTCTCTGGGGGCACCCTGCGGCTCCGGCTTCTTAATCAGAAGCGCTCTTAGCTCTCTAAGGAGCTATCCAGGAAGATTCGGGTCTTCGGGTTAGGTTGGGTTTGTCGGGCAAGTAGTCATGAGTGCGATGCGAGAGCAGCAGCTCGTGCGCTTTGGCCTGCCCCCTCCCCCCATCCCCGCGCCTCGCTAGAGCCGCTCGCCCATGGCCACTCTTGCCGAAGCTTCTGGGGCCCCCCAAACGGTGCGGTGACCGCACCGTGTGGTGAGCCAGTGCTCCTCCTCCTCCTCCTCCTCCTCCTCCTCCTCCTCCTCCTCCTCCTCCTCCTCCTCCTCCCCCCAACCCGAGATTCGGGTCTTCGGGTTAGGTTGGGTTGGTCTGGCAGGTCGTCCGCAGAGGCCCAGCCGCATCCGCCGTCGCTGGCGCTGCCGCCGTCGTCAGAGGCGGCTCTTCGCAGCTCTCGGCCTGCCGTCAGAAGTGGGTGGCCAGCACGGAGAGGTCTGGCCAGGATGGACCACAGGAGGAGGAGGAGGAGGAGGAGGAGGAGGAGGAGGAGGAGGAGGAGGAGGAGGAGGAGGAGGAGGAGGAGGAGGAGGAGGAGGAGGTTGAGGAGGAGGAGGAGGAAAAGCAGGTGATGGCAACTGGCGAAAGGTTGCGTGGCTTGAGTTTGGGCGGCCTTCAGCCGCGCGCCCTCCGTCGCTCCTCGACCCCCTCGCGTCGCGAACAGAAAGTGGCGACGGGATGTTTTCTGCACGCTTTCGTCTCTGGGGCCCCCATCGGGCCCTCGGGCCATCTGAGAAAAGACTCGGGATGAAAATCCAGTCTTGGAGAAGGGGTCCAGGCCTCTCGGTGTCCGCGTTGCCAAACATCTACGACGTCGGGGTCTGGGATGTCGTCGTCGTCGCCGCCGCCGCCGTCGTCGGCGTCGTCGACATATTCGTTTCCCCCAGTTAGTGCTTGCACTTAAGGGTTTTTTTCATTTGTCTTCTGAGGAACTGGCCGTCGGTCTGGCGGCTCCGTGCTCGCCGGCGCCGCCCCGTCGCCGCCTCGTCGCCGCCCGTCGTCTGGGCCTGAACTTCGGTCTGGCGGCTTCGTGCTCGCCGTCTCCGCCTCGTCGCCGCCCGTCGTCTGTGCCTGATTGTCGGTCTGGCGGCTCCGTGCTCGCCGTCGCCGCCCCGTCGCCGTTTTCGTCGTCCCGTTGCCGCCTCGCATGTATTCTGCTTTCTAACAGAGATGTGGACTCTCCCCCCCTCCCCCCCTGGATTTCACGGTTCCCCTTCGCGTATTGCGTTTTATTGCTTATTCTGCACACTCGGTCATCCTAAATATGAATTCGTATTATCCCAGCTGATCAGGTCTCCCCCCTTCATCCTTTGCGGCAAATGCTGCGTGCGCACACTCATTTTTCACAAATCGCTAGTTTTCAAGAACCTCTTATAACAAATGGGACGATGTGCGCACGCGCGCGTCGTCGCGCGCGCATGCCGAACTTTTCCCCAAATCCAAGGTTTCGTAAGGATTTCAAAACCGAGTGTCCCGAAACATCTCAAACCACATAGTTTTGCAACACGAATTTTCAAAACAACGACTGCGCCTACTCTCTTGCGCATTGTTAAGAAAACCGGTGGTTCTTCACCATTTTCTTGACATGCTGCCAAACGTGCCTTTCGCCCGCGCATGTCGACATCGCTCGAACGCCCCTGCGCGCGTGCTGTCGCAAGCATCCCTGGCAACAAATGGGACGAAGTGCACGCGCGCGTCGTCGTGCGCGCACTCCAGAATCCTTCAAAAACCTCAGGTTTCGTAAGGGATAGCAAATCGAGTGTTCCGAACACATATAAATTCATATGGTTTGGCAGCGCCAGTTTGCAAAACAACTGCGCTCGCGCTCCTGCGCATTCTTGAGCAAACCAGCGGGCTTCCAACTTGCTCAGTCACTTCGGCCAAACGGGCCTCTCGCGCCGTGTGTCGAAATCATTCGAACGCCATTGCGCGCGTGTTGGGGGGGCACGATCCGTGTAAAATATACCATGCGGGCCACTCTCGTGGCTGCGCGCGCATGTCGAACTCCTTCCAAAACCTTCATCGCAGACGCGTGGACGGCGTTATCGCCGTCGGCGTGATCAGCATCGGCGCCGTCACTGGCCTTGCCGTCGTCGTTGTCTTCATCGTCACCAGCATCGCTACTATCATCCTCGTGTCTACCATTGTCGACGTTGCCATGATACCGCGCCCGCCCAAGTCACCGACTCGAGCTGAAGTGCCCGCTGGGAAGTGCCCAGCGGTCAGCGTCACCGCGGCCGCATCGGTCGCGCCAAACTAGCTCGTCGTTGCGCGCGCGAGCATGCGCGGGCTAGCGCGGCCGCAGAGGTGCACCAGCCAACACCAAGCACTCATCGCAATCGCCGCCGCATGGGTTTTGCAAGCCAAGTTGCGGGTGGGTGGGTGGGGTGGTTGCGCGAGTAGTGGAGCTCATTACTCACTGCGGAACAGAACCCCCCTCGGTTCCCTGGCAAAAAGTACTCTGCGCGCACACGCGTTTATCAAAAACCAGAAGTTTCAATAATCCCTTGTCTGAAAATTTGACGAAGTGCACGCGCCCGTCGTCGCGCGCGCATGCCGGGACCATCAGAAGCCTTCGGTTTCGGAACGACTTCAATATCGAGTGTAAAAACATAAAAGCACAGGGTTTCGCAACGCAGATTTTCAAAAAAGCGTGCGCGCGTGCTCTTGCGAGTTCTTAATTCAAACCATGAGTTTCCCAACATGTTCATAGCATACTTCCAAACGGGTTTCGCGCGCGCAAATGTCGAAATCGTTCGAGCACCCTTGCGCGCGTGCTGGGGTGGCACGGTCCGTTTCAAATAAAACCATGCGAGCCACTCTCGCGCGTCTGCCGCGCGCGCGTGTCGAATTCTTTCCAAAACCTTCATCACCGACGCGAAGACGCCGTCATCGTCGTCGGCGTGATCAGCATCGGCGCCGTCACTGGCTGCCCAGTCGTCGCTGTCAGCATCGTCGCCAGCATCGCTACTATCATCAGCTTGTCTACCGTTGATGACGTTGCCATGATACCGCGCCCGCCCAAGCCACCGACTCCAGTTGAATTGCCCGCTGGGAAGTGCCCAGTGGTCAGCGTCACCGCGGCCGCATCGGTCGCGCCAAACTAGCTCGTCGTTGCGCGCGCGAGCATGCGCGGGCTAGCGCGGCCGCAGAGGTGCACCTGCCAACACTCATCGCAATCGCTCCCGCATGGGTTTTGCAAGCCAATTTGCGGGCGGGTGGGTGGGATGATTGCGCGAGCAGTGGGGTTGACAACTTTAAGTTCGGCAGGTGAATTGTTCCGCATAGGTTGCTCCGCGTAGGTTGCACCGCGTAGACTGCACCAGGTAGATTGCACCGCATATATTTTACCACATTTGTATTGCACCACGTATACTGCACCAGATACCATTGCACCATTCACGCTGCACAACATTGATCAAACCACATAAGTTGTACCACGTAGGTTGCACCGCAGATACTGCACCACATAGATTTCGCCAGAACTATGGCTTCATATATAGATATATATATATATATATATATATATATATAAAATCGCCCAATGTAGCTTCTCTTTTTTACAAAGAGTATTAGGATGTACCCCCCGGGTGTAACGGTACACCTTGTCGTATGGCCATTTACACATGATTCGGCCCCATCGCCCATGTTATTTTCGAGTTCGTACTATCCCAGGCATGCCGGTATCGCCCCCCTTCGTCCTTGGCGAAAAATACTATGCGCGCGCGCTCATTCATAACAAAGCATCGGTTGTCAAGAATCCTTTTCAAAACATGGGACGAAGTGCGCACGCTCGCGTCGTCGCGTGCGCATGCCGAAATCCTTCACAAACCCACGGTGTCGTAATGGCTTCAAAATCGAGATTCCCGAATACATATATAATCACTTCCGGTTCTGCATCAAGGGGTTTGAAACAAAAAACTTATACCCGCGCTCTTGCGAACCCTGAAGAAAACCAACGGGTTTTCAACATGTCGAGGACCTGCTACCACACAGGCCTCCCGCGCACGTATGTCGAAATCGCTCGAACGCCCAGGCGCGCGTGTTGTCGCAAGAATCCCTTGCAACAGGTGGGACGACGTGCGCACGCCCGCGTCGTCGCGCGCGCATGCCGAAATCCTTCAAAAACCCAGGTTTCACAAGGAATTCGACAAGAGTGTCCCGAAAACTCACAAAAACACATGGTGGTGCACCATCAGTTTTCAAAAAAAGCTTGCGCTCGGGGCCTTGAGGATTCTTCAGGAAATTATCGTTTCTCAATATTGTCATCATATTCCGCCAAAAAAGGGCGTTTCGCGCGCGCATGCCGAAATCATTCGAACGTCCTTGCACACGCGTGCTGGGGGGGGGTGGGGGCACGGTACTTCTCAAATAGTACCATGCGGGCCACTTGCGCGCGTCAGCCGCGCGCGCATGCCGAACTCCTTCAAAAACCTTCATCGCCGACGCGACGATATCGTCGTTGGTATCGGCGGGCGTGATCAACATCGGCGCCGTCATTGGCCTTGCTGTCGTCATCGCCACCATCGTCACCATCATCGCTACTCTCACAATCGCGTCTACTCTTTGTCGGCGTCGCCATGACACCGCGCCCACCCAAGTCACCGACTCGAGCTGAAGTGCCCGCTGGGATGTGCCCAGCGGTCAGCGCCACCGCAGCCGCGTCGGTCGAGCCAAACTAGCTGGCCGCTGTGCGCGCGAACATGCGCGGGCTAAAGTGGCCGCAGAGACGCACGAGCCAACGCCAAGCACTCATCGCAGTCGCCGCCGCATGGGTTTTGCAAACCATTTTTCGAATTGGTGGGTGGGATGTTTGCATGGAATTTGTTAGCCCGTTTGTAGAAATCAATCGCACCACATAGATTGCACAGCGTAGTTCGCACCACAGCTGTTGCACAACCAGGATGCCACTACCTAGATCGCATCACATAGGTTGCACCACAAGTTGCACCGCAGATATTGAGTTACGTCGATTGTACAGTCTGTATTGCTAGTCACACTGTTTTGGGCCCGCGCTGGTTAACATCTAGAGAACAATCCAGCTGCCTGCGGCAGGTTTCGCCACCGTGCCAACCCCGCATTCTGGTTGGCGACTGCCCAAAAAAACACTAAAATGCCATCACCTGTAACACCTCGTGTCTCTAGGTTTTGTAGAACCATGCTGAAGATGATGGGGATGATGATGAGGATGGTGATGATGATGCTGCTGCTGCTGATGATGGTGATGGTTATGATGTTCATGGTGACGATCGTTTGAAGGGTGATGATGAGGATTCGGAGGACGAGCGGGGTGAGCAGGAGGAGGTGGAATAGGAGGAGGAGGATGAGGAGGAGGAAGAGGAGGAGGAGGAGGAGGAGGAGGAAGAGGAGGAGGAGGAGGAGGAGGAGGAGGAAGAGGAGAAGGACAAGGAGGAGGACGAGGGAGAGGAGGAGGAGGAGGAGGAAAAGGAGGACGAGGAGGAGGAGGAGGAGGAGGAGGAAAGGTAGATGAAGTCCGTCGTCGTCGAACATATTTTCCGTATCGGTTTCGGGCGCGCCACGTCCAGGAGCTGCAGGCCCACCACTTCTCCGAACAGCGCGCCATTGAGGAGATGGAGGCGCGCGGCCGCGAGGCCGCGCCCGCGCCCGCACCGGTGGGCGGGCGACGGGCCATGGCCGACGCCCTGGGGCCCCTCTTGCGGGCGCGCTGGGGGCCTTGTAGGCCCTCCCTGTGGGGACGCCGACGACGACGACGTCGACGTCGACGCCGACGCCGACGCCGACGACGTCGACAACGTCGACGCCGACGACGACGACGACGACGGCGGCGGCGACGCCGACGCCGACGCCGACGCCGACGCCGACGCCGATGCCGACGCCGACGCGACGCCAACGCCGACGCCAATGCCGACGACGACGACGACGACCACGACCACGACCACGACGACGACCACGACCACGACCACGACCACGAAGACGACGATGACGACGACGACAACGCCGCCGCCGCCGACGACGACGACGCCGACGCCGACGCCGACGCCTACGGCGACTGGCGACGACGACGACTACGACGACGAAGGCGACGACGAGGACAAGGACGACAACGACGACGACGACGACCACGACCACGAGCGCGACGACGACCACGACCACGAAAACGACGACGACGAAGACGACGACTACGACGACCGCGACGTCCGCGACGTGACGACGACATCGACGGCGGCGGCGGTGGCGACGGCGACGGCGACGGCGACGGCGACGGCGACTACGACGACGACGACGCCTACGACGCCGTCTACGGCGACGACGACGACTACGACCACGGCGACCGCGACGACGACGCCGTCGGCGGTGACGGCGGCGGTGGCGACGGCGACGGCCACGGTGACGGCGACGACGACGACGACGACGAGGGTGACGACGTCGACGACGACGGCGACCGCGACGACGACGTCCACGACGACGCCATCGGTGGCGGCGCCGGCGACGGCGACGGCGACGACGACAACAACAACGACGACGACGGTAACGACTACAACGACGACGATGTCGACGTCGACGATCACGACGACGACCACGCCAACGATGACCACGACGGCGACCACGGCAACGGCGACGACGACGACGACTGCGACGACCGTGACGGCGACGACGACGGTGGCCTTGGCGGCGACAGCAACGGCGACGACGACCACGACGACGACGCCGACAACAACAACAACGACGACCACGACGATGATGACAACGACAACGACGACGACGACGTCCACGACGACGCCGACGGCGATAACGCCGACGACGACGACGCCGACGGCGACGACGACCACGACAACGACGACGACGACAACGACGACGACGGCGTCGGCGGCGGCCGCCGCGGTTGCGAGGGCGACGGCGACGGCGGCGACGACGGTCGCGACGGCGATTGCGACGACGAAGTTGGCGATCGCGACGACGACGACGAGGACGACGACCGCGACGACGATGGCGTCGACGGCGGCGGCGGCGGTGTCGACGGCGACGGCCACGGCGACGGCGACGACGACGACGGCGACGACGACGACGACGACGATAGGGACCGCGGCGATGGGGACCGCGACGGCGAAGACGCCGACAACGCCGACGACGACGGTGGCGGTGACGGCGACTGCGACGACGACAACGACGACGACGACGGCGACGACGACCACGACCACGACGACGGCGAGCACGACGACTGCGACGAGCACGACGACGACGACGACGGCGACCGCGGCGGCGACGTTGTCGACGGCAGCGGCGTCGGTGGCGACAACGACGGCGACGGCGACGATCGCGACGACGAGGACGACGACGACGACGACGGCGATCGCGACGACGACGACGAGGACGACGACGGCGGCGGTGGTGGCGGCGACGGCAACGGCGACGACGAGTCGACGACGACGACGGTGACGACAACGACGACGACGACGACGACCACGACCACGACGACGACGGCGACCACGACGACGATGACGACCACGTCGACGACGAGGACGATGACGACTGCGACGTCGACAACGACGGCGGCGGCGGTGGAAGCGACGGCGACGGCCATGGCGACGGCGACGAAGGCGGCGACGGCGACGATAACGACGGCGACCGCAACGTCGACGAATATGATGACGCCGACGACGACGACGGCAGGCGCGGCGGTGACGGCGACGCCGACCACGACGACGACAACGATAACGACAACAACAACAACGACGAGGACGACGACGACCACGACCAGGACCACGACCACGACGACGCTAACCACGACGACGACGACAGACGGAGACGACGACGACGACGGCGACCGCGACGACGACGACGACAACGATGACAACAGCGCCGGCGCCGACGTCACCGACGGCGACGAAGACCACGACGACGACGACGATAACGATAACAACAGCGGGCACGATGACGACCACGGCGACGACGACGACCGCGACCACGACCACGAAAACGACAGCGACGAGCACGACGAAGACGACGACGACGGCGACGACGAGAACGATGACGTCGACGACGACGACGACGACCTCGACGATAACGACGATAACGACAATAACAGCGACCGCGATGACAACCACGACGACGACGTCGACCACGACCACGACCACGACGACGACGGCGACTAGCACGACAATGACGGCGTCGACGACGCCGACGGCGACGACCTCGACGACTACGACGTCGACCGAGGCGACGACGGCGGTGGCTGCGACCGTAACGACGACGACGCTGACGACGACGATGCCGACGACGACGGAGGTGGCGACGGAAACGGCGATGGCGACGACGACCACGACGACGACAACGACGATAACGACAGCAACACTGACGACGATGACCACGACGACGACGACCACGACCACGACGACGACGACGACGGCGACGACGACGACGACCTCGCTGGCGGCGGCGGCAACGACCACGGCGACGGCGACGACGATGACGACGACGACGACGAGAGCGACGACGACGGCGACGGCGACCTCGACGAACGCGACGCCGACGACGCCGACGACGACGGCGGCGGCGACGGCGACGGCGACGACGACCACGACCGCGACGACGATAACGACATCATCAACAACGACGACGATGACGACGACGACGACTACGACCACGACGACGTTGATCACGACGACGGTGACGACTACGACGACGACGACGGCGACGACGACGACGAGGAAGATGACTGCGACTACGACGTCGACGGCGACGTCGGTGGTGGCGACGGCGACGGCGACGACGACTACGACGACGACGACAACGACGGTGACGACGACGACGACGGCGACCGCGACGACGACGACTCCGCCGACGACGGTGGCGGCGGCGGCGACGACGACTACGATCCCGACGACGACAACAACAACAGCGACGACGATGACGACGACTACGACCACGACCACGACGACGATGACCACGACGACGACGACGACTACGCCGACCGCCACGACGACGACGTCGACGACGGCGACGGCGACGGCGACGGCGACAACCACGGCGACGGCGACGACGACGACGCTGACGGCGACGACGAAGACGACCACGACGACGATAACGACAGCAACAACGAAGACGATGAAGACGACGGCGACCACGACCACGACCACGACGACGACGACGAAGTTGACGGCGGCCGCCGCGGTCGCGACTGTGATTACGACGACGACGCGACGGCGACGACGACGACGACGACGGCGGCGGCGGCGGCGACGGTTATGGCTACGACGATGACGATGACGACGACGAGAACGACGACGACAACAACAACGACGACGACGATGGCGACGACGACAACGACGACTACGACCACGACGTCGACCGCGACCGCGACGACGACGATGTTGACCGCGACGACCACGACGCCGACGACGACGGCGGCGACGACAACGACGACGACTGCTACGGGGACCACGGCCACGACGACAACGACGACGATAACGACAACAACCCCGACGACGACGACGATGAGGACGACGACTACGACCACGACCACGACGACGATGACCACGGCGACGGCGACGGCGACGACGACGGCCACGACCGCGACGACGACGACGTCGACGGCAGTGGCGGCGGTGGCGACGGTCACGGCCACGGCGATGGCGACGACAACCAGACTACGGTGACGGCGACGACGACGACGACAACGGCGACAGTGACGACGACGACGCCGACGATGCGGACGAAGTCGACGGTGGCGGTGGCGGCGACGGCGACGGCGACAACGACCACGACGACGACGTCGACGATGACGACACCAATAACGACGACGATAACGACGACGACCACTTCCACAAGCACGACAATGACCGCGACGATGACGTCGACGACGGCGACGACGACGACGACGACGGCGAGGACGACCGCGACGATGACGACGTCGCCGGCGGCGGTGGCGGTGGCAACGGCGACAGCCACGGCGACGGCGGTGACGACGACGACGACGACGGCGACGGCGACGACGACGACCACGACCGCGACCACGGCGACGACGAACACGACGACGACGACCACGACGACGACAACGACAATGACCGCGACGATGGATGCCGCAGCCGCCGCCCCCCCTCTTCGCCTGCGGGCGGCAGCGCCTCGACGGCCCTCCCGCCAGGTCAGCGCTCGCCTCGAGAGTCCTCGGCGTCCGAGGTCTTCGGGCGTCTCCTTGTCGGTCCCCGGCGGCTCTTGGGCCTCGGCGTGCCTTCCAGGGCGCACAGGGGCCCGGCGTGTGGACAAAAATCGAGACGGGAGTTTTTCGCAGTCTTCGGCGGCAAGGGCCCTCACCGGGCCCTGGGACCGCCCGAAATCCACTCAGGATGAAGAGCCGACCCCCGGGGAGGGGGTCGAGAGTTCCTGGGACCCCGTACGGAAAAGACCACGGCATCGGATTTCTGGGCAGAGAGCTGTGCTTCGTCGAGAGCGTCTCGTGGGGGCCTGGATCGTCCCGAACGCAGGGGAACGAAAAATGGCAAAACATACAACTCGGAGGTCCGCGCTCATTTCTCGGATCGGCGCTGGACCCCTCCCTGGCGCGCGGAGCGCGTCAGGGGCGGCGCCGGGGGCGCCGCCAGGGGGCCCCAGCGCTGGTCCGAGGAATCTGCGCAGACCTCCGAGTTATTATGTTTATGTCATTGGTTCGCTTCCCCAGAACGGCCGCCGGGAACCCGAGCCGTGACACGACGAGCAGGCGACGAGGCCCACTCGGGTCGGGCGGGTCTGCGGCAGGTTTCGGCCTCCTCTGCGCGGGGGCGCGAGTCTCGCTCTGCTGGCGCCGCTGGCCGGGCGGTGTGGGAGAGCCAGCTATATTACGTGAGCCGCTGCGTTCCCTCCCCCCCGTTACGGTGGAAGCCCATGCCAAGGAGCACCCTGCTTGCCTCCAGGGCGCCCAGGGATTCTTGGGTTCCGATGGTTCTGCGATGGAGAGCGTGACGTTCGTTCCCACAGCACAGATCAATGGACGTCCCACTCCTCCTCCTCCTCCTCCTCCTCCTCCTCCTCCTCCTCCTCCTGGTAGTCCTCCTCCTCCTCCTCCTCCTCCTCCTCCTCCTCCTCCTCCTCCTCCTCGGGTCTCAGGGTTGGGTTTCTCGTGGAAGGTTTCTCGTGGTCGAGCCAATACTGCACTCCTACCCCTGTCTCGTTCGACCCGGTTTCCGAACTTGAGCATCGAGGCCTTCACGGGCTCTGCGATGTCACGGATGATTGCGAAGGCCTTACGGCCGGTGCCGCCGCCCCCGAAGGGAGACGACGACGACAACGGCGGCGTCGGCGGCGACGACGACCCTGAGGTGGGCCAGAGTCCTCAGGGATGCTTCTTGTGGTCTCTTCGGACTGCTCTCGGCACCCTTTGGGGAGGAAACTTTGGGCCTCTTGGGAACCTCTTGGGGGCCTCTTGGGAGCCTCTTGGGGGCCTCTTCGGCTTCCTGGGGGCCTCTTGTGGGCCTCTTGGGGCCTCTTGAGAGCCTCTTGGGGCATCATGGAAGCCTCTCCGTGCCGAGGGCTCGAAATGTCCGTTCGAGTCCCCCGTCTGGACACGCTCTTGGAGCCGTCTTGGGGGCCTCTTGGCCGTCTTGGAGTCGTTTTGGGCTGTCTTGGAGTCCTCTCGGGCTGTTTTGGGGCCCTCTTGGAGGCCTCTTGCGCCGTCTTGGGGCTATCTTGGGGGCCTCTTGCGCCGTCGTGGAGCGGCGGGAAGTGGAAAAGGCGAGAACGGCCTAGAAAAACAGCTGAAAATCAATGAATTTGGCCTCTTGGGCCCTCTCGGGAGTGCTCTTGGAGGCTTCTTGGGGCGTCCTCGAGGCCTCTTGGGCAGTCTGGAGGGCGTGAAGGCGTTTTGGACCGATCCTTTGGCGATTAGGGACCCTCTTGGACCGTATCGGGGGCCCCTTTGTGGAACTCTTGGCCTGTCTTGGTACCTTCTGAGGCCCCGGGGCCCCCAGGGGGGGATGCGTATCTGACCCCACCCCCCCCGCCCTACCCCCCACTGGCCGGCCACCCCCGAGACCCCCCCCAGGACCCCTCGTGGGCTCCCCCCGGGACCTTCCCCGGGACCCCCTTGGCGACCCCCCCCTGGCGGGGGAGGGATCAAAGATTACCACACTGCTAGAATTTTCTCTCGCTGACAAGCTTGAGTAGGAGAGTGCAGGGAAAGGGGACGACGGAGACGACGACTGACGGAAACGACGACTCGAAAAGACAAGCCCCTCACGCACGCTGACAGGGTCGGCGGATTTTGATTCGGAGGCACTTGGCCCATATAGTCAGTGGGAGGCACACCTTTGCTCGACGGGCCTTTACGGTGGTTGGAGGCACTTGTCCCATATAGTCAGTGGGACAGTCGCACGTCTGAGGCACACCTTTGCTCGACGGGCCTTTACGGTGGAAGGCGTGGCATTGCTCTGGACAGGCAGAACTGGCCCAGTCGGTTGCCGAGCGGGCTCGATTCCAGATTCGTTCAGAAGCTCAGCCAGCTCAGACGCCGAATGTGTTCAGAGGGTTATCCTGGAGGAGGACTGGGAGTTGGTGGGTGGATGAGGAGGGGACGAAGTGAGTGGAGGTGGAGGAGGAGGAGGAGGTCGAGGCAGAATAACCAGGAGGTTGAGGAATAGGAGGTCGAGGAGAAGGAGGAGCAGGACGAGGAGGAGTACGAGGAGGAGGAGGAGGAGGAGGAGGAGGAGGAGGAGGAGGAGGAGGAGGAAGAGGAAGAGGATGATGATGATGCTGCTGATGATGATGATGATGATGATGATGATGATGGGATGATGATGATGATGATGATGATGATGGTGGTGGTGGTGGTGATGATGATGATGATGATGCTGATGATGATGATGAGGAGGAGGAGGAGATGGAAGAGGGAGAGGAAGAGGAAGAGAGGAGAAGGAGGAGAGGAGGAGGAGGAGGAGGAGGAGGAGGAGGAGGAGGAGGAGGAGGAGGAGGAGGAGGAGGGGGAGGAGGAGGAGGACGTGTGGGGACGGAGGCGCGGCGCCCGCGGCGATCTGCGGCTCGAGGGGCTCTCCTGTTCCCTCCCCTCTGTTTGCTCAGCCCCGCCCTCGGGCAGTTGGCCCGGGAGGTCGGCGGCATGCCCGGCAGTCCGATCCTGGCGGGCGAAGGGCGGGTTATATCCTGAGATCCCGGCGCCGCAATTTTTTTTCGAGCCGCGTCAGGCGTTGTCGCACGACTGCGGGCCCTGGGACCTGCACAGGCCGATGCGTCTCGAAAAGGACGCAGAAAGATGGAGTCCAGGGCTCCGGCCGTGATGTTTCACGATTTTGCAGTTTCTTCGCGTCGTCGCCCTCGAGGCCTTCCCAGGGCGCCAGGGCCGCCAACAACACGACTCGGGACGAAAAAACAGTCCTCGGGAAGGGCCCCGACGTCTGGGGGTCGACGTCGTGAAAAAATCGCGACGTCGTGGTCCCAGGGCGGCCCTTGAGTCTGTGCCCTTATCTACTTGACTACACGTGAGAGTGACCCTTCGCCAGAGTGACCTTGGGTGCAGGCCCATTGGGGTTCCCCGATCGCCGAACGCGATGCGATAGTAGCGTCTTGCGCGCTTGTGTTTGGTCCCCCCGCGGCTCCCAAAAAGCCGCGCACCAAAGGTCACTCTTACCCTGGATGGCTCTTGCGTGCAGCCAATTTACGGTGGCGCGTCGGGAGTGTTTGCTCAGCGTGTCGCGCCGCCGGCTTCAGGACCACCGCGCTTTTCGGCGCGGCACGCCAAGCGCGCCCCGATCCCTGAGGAATAAGCGCTCCGAGCTTTTCCAGGCCTCACGTCCCACGATGCAGCGCGTCGCATGAATTGGCCGCCGCCGCGACATGCTGAGCAGTAGTTCCTGGCCGTGCACTTTCCAGCCGCCCTGGGACGGGCGTCCCCGACGGCGGAGCAGTTTTCCTTACCCAGACATCTGACGATGTTTTGTTCAATTCGTGGCCCAAGAAGTCGCGACCCGTTCCCCATGGTAAAGTAGTAGTGAGCCTTGAGCTTACTTATGAGGGCCCTGGGGCCGGGTAGCGGGCCCCAGAGGCCGAAACCGAGGGAAAACGCGCGTGGGTTGAAAGAATATCCCAGACACCTGGCGTCCGACGGGCCCCCGACCTCTCGACCATTTCCCCAGGACAAGTTTTCCATTCCGAGTCGTTTTTTGACGGCCCCAAGGACTGGTAAGGGCCCCCAAAGGCCGAAAGCGATGAAAAACCTCCGCCTCGATCTCTTCGAAACGCCGGATGTGCGGGAGGATCGTCGGAGATCTCGGCATGTGCCAGCCTTCACCCGCTGGCCATCGACGACGCCCTGGTCCCTGGCCACGTCTGCAGGCTGTTCCGGTCGGGCGCGTGCTCGCGGGGCGAAAATTGCCCGCTGCTGCACTCGTGGCCGGCGAAGGTGTCCACCACCGCCAGCGGAGACTTCAGCAGCACCGGCAGCGGCACGCTGAGCGACCCTGGGCTGCCACCGTTCAAATCGGTTACGCTTAAGGCGGGCCTGTCCCTCTACAGGAGGAATCTGTAAAGATAGTAAAAAACTAGCCTGGGGACGATTTTTGTAGTATTTCGATTTTTTTTGGGCACTTCTAATTTTTCGTCCAAAATCCGCCTGTAGGAGGACACGCCCGACCTAGGGCTACGCGTGGGAGTGACGCTTCGCTGGAGTGACCTTTGATGCGGGCCTACAGGGGCCCCCCCAGCAGTGGCTTGCGCGCTTGGATTTGACCCCAGCCCCCTGAATCCTCGAGAGCGAAGTAACCCCTAACCTTAATAACACGATGAAGACGTGGCCTCACTGAGGCCCCCGTCTTCGCATTAGGGATCATACTTCTGGGCGGATTGTGTCGGTACATCTGCAGAAAAGACCCCCTATCCCTAATGTTTTTGACCCTCCTAACTTAGGTTCCCCCCCAAATGGTTAGAGGTCCTTTTTTGATTAATCACTGCAGCCGCGCACCAATGGTCACTCCTGCCCAGGGTCATTCTTGCGTGCCGCCGAGCGAAGGACGGCCCAGATCTCCAATGAGGCAGTTTTTTTCCAATCCTGGCCGGCGTCTTTTTGTGCGGTGACTGTGGCTCCCGGGCCTGGCTGGGGGCCCTGGGGCCTCCAAAAGCGGACCCGGGGCGTAGAGCGGGCGCTCAGGGGCCGCGGATTGGAAGAATCACATCGCCGGATGTCTAGGCACCCGAATCCCCCAAATGTCACCAAGAGGCCCCTCAGACGTCCCATCAGGCCTCCAAGATGCCGCCCGGGCCTCTTGGGGGCCTCTTGTGGGCCTCTTGGAGGCCTCTTGAGGGGCCTCTTGGAAGCCTCTCTGGCGCCCCTCGGTGGAGGAAAAACGGGTCCGGAGCCATCTCTTCGCCGTTCGTCGGCTCCCCTCGCTGGCGGGGGGCCCGTCCTCCTCCTCTTCCTCCATTTCGTTTTACAAATTTGCAAGAGTTTCACGGCTTGAGGGCGGGTCGTTTTCAAAATGTGGTTCTCGCCTTAGCGCCGCGCACATTCGTTTTCAAAGTTTGCAAGGGTTTCACGGATTGAGGGCGGTTCCTTTTCAAAATGTGGCTCTCACCTCAGCGCCGCGCGCATTCGTCTTGAAATTTTGCAACAGCTTCACGAATTCCTATGATCAACGTACCAGAAATGGTGTTCTGGAAGGATTCAGGATTATGCGGGCGCAACAGTTATGTTGATTCGCTGTGTTGGAGTCCCAAAAATGGCGTTCTGGCCGGATTCTGGCTCGTCGAGACGCAGCAGTCAGGTTGATACGTGGCGTTGAAATCCCGAGAGTAATGTTTTGGCACGCTTCAGGATCTTCAAACTGTTGTCTTCTAACGAGGCAGTTCTCTCAATGGAAATGAACCGTTTTAGGGGCCTATGAAGAGGGAGCTTGGAGGGAGGGTTCATTCCAACATCGTTGATGACTCTTGGGTTTCCACTGGTCCTCCTCCTCCTCCTCCTCCTCCTCCTCCTCCTCCTCCTCCTCCTCCTCCTCCTCCTCCTCCTCCTCCTCCTCCTCCTCCTCCCCCTGAGACCCAGGGCCGTGCACAAAAACGCCTCGGGAGGAAGAGCCGGTCTTGGGCCCGAGCCGCGGGGTCCAGTGGCAGGGGGCCACACCAACCCTGAGAGCTTGGCGCCGCTTTTGTTTTTTTTCGCAGCGGGCGGTTTTGCCTTGCTTCGGGCCCTGGGAGCCTCACATATCGACCTTGCTTGAACAGTAGCGCAGACATATGGGGTCCAGGGCCGGGGTCGCGGGTCGAAATTTATTGCCACGCTGCAATCTGTTCGTAACGTCGGATCTCAGGGTGCAAGACCCAGACCCCCGCCGTCACGATTTTTTCATTACGTCGACCCCCCGAAGTCTCGACCCATTCCCCGGGACCGGCTTTTCATCCCGAGTTGTTTTTACCTAACAGCGAAGACTGATAGGTTTCTAGTTGACTCAAAAGAGCTCACAGATCACTCCACAGGGGGGTCCAGGCGGGTGCCGGACAGGGTGCCGCAGAAGTCGTTTTAAGCCAACAGTCACACACTTCGTGCTCTTCGACCTCCCAGAACTCCATTCCCGGGCCACATTCTGAATGCCCGGAGCCAACTGTAGGCCACTTCGTGCTCTTCGACTTCCCAGAACTCCATTCCCGGGCCGCATTTTGAATGCCCGGAGCCAACTGTAGGCCACTTCGTGGTCTTCGAGTCCCAGAACTCCATTCCCGGGCCACATTTTGAATGCCCGGAGCCAACTGTAGGCCACTTCGTGCTCTTCGAGTTCCCAGAACTCCATTCCCGGGCCACATTTTGAATGCCCGGAGCCAACTGTAGGCCACTTCGTGCTCTTCGAGTTCCCAGAACTCCATTCCCGGGCCACATTTTGAATGCCCGGAGCCAACTGTAGGCCACTTCGTGCTCTTCGACTTCCCAGAACTCCCATTCCTGGGCCACATTTTGAATGCTGAGGCAGGCTGATGCTGCGGTCGAGGCAGGCTGAGGCTGAGGCAGGCTGAGGCTGAGGCCGAGGCTGAAGGCAGACTGAGGCTGAGGCTGAAGCAGGCTGAGGCTGAGGCTGAGGCAGGCTGAGGCTGAGGCTGAGGCAGGCTGATGCTGAGGCAGGCTGAGGCTGAGGCTGAGGCTGATGCAGGCTGAGGCTGAGGCAGGCTGAGGCTGAGGCCGAGGCTGAAGGCAGACTGAGGCTGAGGCTGAAGCAGGCTGAGGCTGAGGCTGAGGCAGGCTGAGGCTGAGGCAGGCTGAGGCTGAGGCTGAGGCAGGCTGAGGTTGAGGCTGTGACTGCGACTGCCGTTGCCGCTGCGACTGTCATCGCGAATGCGACTACGACTGCGAGAACAGCAGAATTCTACAACTGGATTTACATCTGAATCTTAAGGGGAATGCTTTCAGATATGCTTCTACACATCGCTGTTAGGTTGCTTTGCCGGGATAATTTGATGGTCCCGAGGCCTGGGAAGGGCCCCCAGAGGCCAAAAGTGGCGAAGAACCTCCCGTCGTGACTTTTTCCACTGCTCGAAGGGGTCTGGGACGAAGGACCCCCTCCTTCTCCCCCTCCATGGCCTCCTGCCGTGCCGAGGCTGGAGAAGGACGGCCACGACAGCCAGGAAGACCTCAGCTGCTGGAGCTGGAGCACCAGCTCCGAAGGCCAGAGCTGGGCGGACCTGCCGGAGGTGCTCTGGGTCCTGGTGCCGGCGCCGCTGCCGCAGCCGCCGGGCGTGGGCGGCGGGGCCAGCGGTCGGGCCGCTGCCGCCCCGAGCGCCGCGGCCCCTCCGAGCCCTGCCAGCGGTCGGAGGAGGAGAAGGTAGCCCATACCTCTGCCCTGGGAGGCCCTCGTCGCCACCGCCGGATTCGCCTCGAGGTTCCAGGCAGAGCGCACCCCAGGGGAGGGAGGGGTCCAGGGAGCAGCGGTGTCTGTGCCTTCTGGTCTCCCCAGGTGGGCTCCCGTCTTGCTCGGGCCGCATCCCGAACATCCCCGAGTTCACCCCCAGCTGGGGCTGTCCGAAGGCTCGGAGGAGGGCCCTCCCTGGAATCCTGGCGCTTCCAAACCTTTTGGGGTCGGGCGGTGTTTCGCACGCTGTTTCGTGCCCTGGGGTCCTCACAGATCGATGCGGCTCCAGAAGTGCTGCAGAAAGAGGGGTTCGGGGGCCCCAGACACCTGGCGTGGAGATTTGTTCGGGGCACGGGCCCCCGACCTCTCGGGATCGTCTTGTCCTTCCGAGTCGTTTTTGATTGTCCCGAGGCACGGTAAGGGCCCCCAGAGGCCGAAAACGATGGAAAACCTCAGTCCCGATTTTTTCGAGACGCTGGATGTCTGGGGCTCTGGTATGGATTTCTCACGAGGTTGCTTTTTCCTGCGCCGTCGGGTCTCAGGGATTTGGGGCGCAGCTGGCGGCCCGCCCTGGCCCAGGGTGGAGGCAGCTGGCGGCCCCTCCCTGAGCATTTTTTGTAGTTTTGTTTTTGTTTTTGCTTTTGTTGTTGTTTTTTGTTGTTGTTTTTGTTTTTGTTGTTGTTGTTTTTGTTGTTGTTGTTGTTGTTGTTGTTGTTGTTGTTGTTGTTGTTGTTGTTGTTGTTGTTGAACTCTCATTCTTGAAGAATAATTATTGTTGATCCCCCCCACCGGTGCACATTGTTCTTTTTTCAATTGAAGTGCCCCCCCCGGGGCTCGCACCTTGTTTCTTGTCAAAGAAAGTCTTCCTGCTCAAACTGGTCCCCTGGCCCCCGGGTTACTACAACAACGGCTCCCGCCTGAGACTTCCTCACAATTTAGCCAGGACCCCTGCTTCCACTCGAGACTTCCTAGCATTTTATTCAAGAATCGCGCTCTCGCTTGGGACTTCCTGACGATTTATTCAGGAATCGCTTCTCCTGCGTTCTGGAGTCGCGCTCTCGCTGGAGACTTGCTTGCAATTTACTGAAGAGTAGCGCCCTTGCGTTGGAATTTCTTGCAATTTCCTCCAGCGCCGCGCTCCCGACACCCAGGCACCCAGGAGTCGCGCTCACGCTTAGGACTCCTTCACAGATTGCATAGGAATCGGGATCTCGCTGCCCTTCGCGGCCCCGTTGCAGCCCTTCGTGGCCCCCTCGCTTTGTTTCGTGGCCCCGTTGCAGCCCTTCGTTGCCCCCTCGCTTTGTTTCGCGGCCCCGTTGCAGCCCCTCGTGACCTCCTCGCTGCCCTTCGTGGCCCTGTTGCAGCCCTTCGTGGTCCCCTCGCTTTGGTTCGTGGCCCCGTTGCAGCCCTTCGTGGCCCCCTCGCTTTGTTTCGTGGCCCCATATTTGTATGCCCTTCGTGGCCCCGTTGCAGCCCTTCGTGGCCCCCTCGCTTTGTTTCGTGGCCCCGTTGCAGCCCTTCGTGGCCCCCTCGCTTTGTTTCGTGGCCCAATATTTGTATGCCCTTCGTGGCCCTCGCTCGTTCGCGCCTGTGGTGGCCCCATATGCATGCTCTTCGTGGCCCCGCTGTCGCCCCTCGTGGCCCCCTCGCTGCCCTTCGTGTCCCCGTTGCTGCCCTCAGTGGCCCCGTCCTTACCCTCCGCGGCCCAACATACGTATGCCCTTCGTGGCCCTCGCTCGTTCGCGCCCGTTGTGGCCCCATGTGCATGCCCTTCGTGGCCCCGCTGTCGCCGTTTGTGGCCTCCTCATTGTCCTACGTGGCCCAGGTGCTACCCTCAGTGGCCCCATCGTTGCCTTCTGTGGCCCCGCATTATCTGCCCTACGTGGCCCACGCTCGTTCGCGCTCTTCGTGGCCCCATACGCATTCCCTTCGTGTCCCTGCTGTCGCCCTTCGTGGCCTACTTCGTGTCCTTCGTGGCCCTGCTGTCGTGCTCTCTCGCTCTCGCTTTCGCTCGTCGTCGTCGTCGTCGTCGCCGTCGCCGTTGTTGCCGTCGTCGTTGACGTCGTCGTCGTCGTCGTCGTCGTCGTCGTCGTCGTCGTCGTCGTCGTGGTCGGTCCCCTGTCCGTTCCTCTTGGGGTCAGGTCGACGGTCCGCGGCCGCCCCGCCGATCAGCGCTGCCGCTGGCCAGGCCGACGGTCCGCGGCCGCCCCGCCGCTTGCCGGGGCATTGCCTGCAGGGAAGAAAGGTATACCCCCCAAAAGGGGTTCGATCGAAGACGAAAAGGGCGGGTATCGAGGCTTTGGGGAATACGCGTTATTGGACACTCGAGCAGACAAGGGCTAACAGTCTTAAAATGATTGTTGTTGTTGTTGTTGTTGTTGTTGTTGTTGCTGTTGTTGAATTCTCATTTCAGAAGAATAATTATTGTCGATCCCCCCCGCCAGTGCGTACTGTTTTTCTCAATCAAAGTGTGCCCCTCGACGCTCGCATCCGGTTTTTTGACAGGGAAAGTCTTCCTGCTCAGACTGGGCCTTTGGTCCCCGGGTAGCAACAACAACGGCTCCTGCCTGAGACTTCCTTACAATTTGGCCAGGACCCCCGCTCCCGCCCGAGACTTCCTCGCATTTTATCCAGGAATCGCGCTCTCGCTTTGGATTTTCTTACAGTTTATTCAGGAATCGCTCTCCCGGCGCTCTGGAGTCGCGCTCTCGCTGGAGACTTCCTTGCAACTTACTGACGAATGGCCTTGCGTGGGAATTTCCTGCAATTTGCCGAAGCGCCGCGCTCTCGACACCCAGGCACCCAGGAGTCGCGCCCGTTGTGGCCCCATGTGCGTGCCCTTCGTGGCCCCGCTGTCGCCATTTGTGTCCCCCTCATTGTCCTACGTGGCCCAGTTGCTACCTTCAGTGGCCCAATAGTTGCCTTCTGTGGTCCCGCATTATCTGCACTTCGTGGCCCCCGCTCGTTCGCGCTCTTCGTGGCCCCATACGCATTCCCTTCGTGTCCCTGCTGTCGCCCTTAGTGGCCTACTTCGTGCCCTTCGTGGCCCTGCTGTCGTTATCTCTCGCTCTCGCTCTCGCTTTCGCTCGTCGTCGCCGTCGTCGTCGTCGTCGTCGTCGCCGTCGTCTTCGACGTCGTCGTCGTCGTCGTCGTCGTCGTCGTCGTCGTCGTCGTCGTCGTCGTCGTCGTGGTCGGTCCCCTGTCCGTCCCTCTTGGGGTCGGGTCGACGGTCTGCGGCCGCCCCGCCGATCAGCGCTGCTGCTGGCCAGGCCGACGGTCCGCGGCCGCCCCGCCGCTTGCCAGGGCCCAGCCTGCAGGGAAGAAAGGTATACCCCCCAAAAGTGGTGCGATCGAAGACAAAGAGGGCGGGTATCGAGGCTTTGGGAAATACGCGTTATTGGACACTCGAGCATATATGGGCGAACAGTCTTAACATTGTTGTTGTTGTTGTTCTTGCTGTTGCTGTTGCTGTTTTTGTTGTTGTTGTTGTTGAACATTATTTATTCTAAAGAATTATTATTGTTGGGCCCCCTGGTGCGCGCCCCCCCTGCGCCGCCTAGGCCGCAGCTACATTTTCATCATTTTCGTGAGGAAGCCTCAGAAAAGAGGGTGTGTACAGGATCCGGTTGTTTTGTTGTAATCCGCTTTCCCTTGCAAAAAACAATAGAAAATGACATTTCTTGTTCTAATATAATCAAATTTCAAGAATCCCTTGCAAAAAATAAGGTAAAGTGGACATTCGCGCGCGCAAGACGAAATCCTTCCAAAACCTTAGTGTTCGCAGCGATTTTAACATAAAAACATCAAAAAACCAATGGTTTTTCAACAAAAAATTGTCAAAATCTCATCCCGCGCGCTCTTGCGGATTCGTAGGAAACCCAACACTTTTTAAACATTTCTGTCAAACGGGCTTTTGCGAGCAACTTTTTCGAACTTCTGCGACAACGGTTGCGCACCTGCCAGGGCCAAAAATAAATAAATAAGCTCCTTCTGCGCCAACGCTCCTTGCATAAAATAAGGTGACATCAGCAAGGCCGCGGCGGGGAAAAGACGGTGGGTGGGCGTGCAAGCGCCGTTCCCGCCCCTCCTTCCGTTCTCTCTTCTCTCCTTTCCTCCTTGTCCTGCTCCTCCTCCTCCTCCTCCTCCGGCGGGGGGCGTGAGGATCCGGCATCGCTCACAACCATCGGGACAACCATCGGGACAACCATCGGAACAACCATCGGGACAACCATCGGGACAATCATCGGGACAGTCATCGGGACAACGATCGGGACAAGCACAACCATCAGGACAACCATCGGGACAATCATCGGGACAACGATCGGGACAACCACAACCATCAGGACAACCATCGGGACAACCATCGAGACAACCATCGGGACAACCATATCCTCTCTCTCTTGTGTATTCCCACATCCCTCAGGAATTTGCCCTAAAGATGTGATCAACTATCTTGTGAGTACGTATCATGTGTATCATGTGTATCATGTACCATATGCATCATATGCAACAGATGTTCTGTGGAAGGCTTAACAACTTCTGTGGGTTAACAAGGCTTAACAACTTCTGTGGGTGTACGAACGTAGGCTTAACAACTTCTGTGGGTGTGTACTCCACGCCAGTGTAGTAGCCACGGTCGTCCGCAGGCCACGAAGTGAAGTGTCCGAACGTCATAGGGCGGGAAGCTGGGTGTGGGTGGTGGCGAAGAGTCGTGTGGATATTTGGTAGAGCTTGCACTGCCCCCCCACAAAGTGGGGGTATTGGCTGGCGTCGCATGAAAACCCTGGCACTGGTGAGAACACTGAGCGTTCGGGTAAAGTGATTGTTGTTGTTGTTGTTGTTGTTGTTGTTGTTGTTGTTGTTGTTGTTGTTTTTGTTGTTGAAATTCTCACTTCTCAAGAATAATAATTGTTGGTCCCCCCACCGGTGCATATTGTTTTTTCGCAATCAAAATGTGCCCCTCGACGCTCGCACCTTGTTTTTTGACAGGGAAAGTCTTGATGCTCAAACTGGGCCCTTGGCCCCCGGGTAACAACAACAACGGCTTCCGCTTGAGAGTTCTTCACAATTTAGCCAGGACCCCCGCTCCCGCCCGAGACTTCCTCGCATTTATCCAGGAATCGCGCTCTCGCTTGGGACTTCCTGACAATTTATCAAAGAATCGCTCTCCCGGCGC